GGTTAACTGCACAGTACATGTATGTCACTTCCATTGGTACATTGGTTAACTGCACAGTACATGTATGTCACTTCCATTGGTACATGATCATTTGTATAAAAAGACATTGCATCCGAATACCTTTCTGAAATTCAATAAGCTATGAATAGGGTTGTGCACAAAAATATGGTCATGAAGTCCAAAAGAAATATCAGGAATCTTTATGCTGAAGTTTTTCAGTATGTGGATAACCAAATTTGTTTTTTAATGAAAAGTTGATCCTCACTTTATTTAAAGCTTAGAAATATTTAATAGGAATGGGTAGCAACAGGATGTCTTAAAGGACAGGTTTTGTAAAAGAACAGGTTGTGTAAAAGAACAGAATGTGTTAAAGAACAAGGTTTGTGAAAGAACAGAATGTGTGAAAGAGCAGGATGTGTGAAAGAGCAGAATGTGTGAAAGAGAAAATTGTGTGAAAGAACAGGATTTGTGAAAGAGAAAATTGTGTGAAAGAACAGGATTTGTGAAAGAGAAAATTGTGTGAAAGAACAGGATTTGTGAAAGAGAAAATTGTGTGAAAGAACAGGATTTGTGAAAGAGAAAATTGTGTGAAAGAACAGGATTTGTGAAAGAGAAAATTGTGTGAAAGAACAGGATTTGTGAAAGAGAAAATTGTGTGAAAGAACAGGATTTGTGAAAGAGAAAATTGTGTGAAAGAACAGGATTTGTGAAAGAGAAAATTGTGTGAAAGAACAGGATTTGTGAAAGAGAAAATTGTGTGAAAGAACAGGATTTGTGAAAGCTTGAATGAAAATAAAGGATAGTCAAAAGAACTCTTTGGCTGAAATTCTTTATCAGCAGACAGTTTCGTTAGATGATGCATGTAATTTTATTGAATGTTTCTTTTGTGTACATGGCCTGTGTAATGATGCCACATTTGTGTAACACTGCTAATTAAATCATACTGCAGTCTGCATCACTGTTAAGTAAATCTTACTGCAGTCTGCAACACTGCCAATACTGACATGCTCATCTTTAATTAAAATACTTTATTTTAAAGACCTTTGCTTTAAATCAGTCACCAAAACCTGCAGTCTTTCTAGTGTTAGATCTGTGTCAGTGTTTCTGTTGACATTTAATTTTAATGTTTGACTACCAACATTAAAAAAACCCAACTTTTCTTGACTTCATTCATTGCAAGATTACAACTACATAGTAGATGTGACATTTTCTCAGGTACTATCATAACACAAACTAATTGTTTGTGTCATGTCCAGGTTTTGAGCTTGGAAGACTTCAGATCACCAAAGAGTCTGTGGACGATGTCAAGTTGCCTCCCTGGGCCAGCACACCTGAAGAGATCATTTAATAACAGACAGGCCCTGGTAAACATGTCTTTTTTGTAACTACTTGTCTTTGTTTGGTCACATGACATGTTGTCACATAGGTCAGTCTGCCCCCTTGTACCAGCCATGCCTCATGAGTTTAATGCCAGGATGTTTGACTGTACAAATGTGACTGCACTGTTCAAATTGTTGGGGTGTTGAGGATTGGGGTAGACCGCCACCCTGTTTTCCTGCCTGTGGCACCATGATATGAAATAACTGTAAGTGGGATATAAACACAGAGAGGCTTCTACTGTATGACAAGGTATGACCCATACCAAAAGGACTTCTTGCCTGTGGCACCATGATATGAAATAACTGTAAGTCGGCTATAAACACAGACAGACTTCTACTGTATGACAAGGTATGAACCATACCAAAAGGACTTCTTGCCTGTGGCACTATGATATCAAATAACTGTAAGTGGTTTATAAACACGGACAGACTTCTACTGTATGACAAGGTATGAACCATAACAATGGGACTTCTTGCCTGTGCACTGTACTGGAACTGTTATTTAAGTAATAATCCGTGACACTGACACTAGATGTGTTTTATATAAGTTTAAGCACAAAAAATTAATTGAATATATTTTAAATTATCCTTTTTTGCCTCTATGTCAAAATGATTCCATGAGGTAAATCGTGTGGTAAAATGTAAAATGTGTAGATACAATAGTTTCAATAATAAATAACCTTGATTTTGACGGTAGACGCTAGTGAGAATTACATTGAAATAAATTTGACTTTTTGTTCTCTCAGGAAAATGAATATGTATTGGCCAATCTACACAACTGGATCGATCTGATATTTGATACACACAGAAAGGACCTGCCGCAGTGGAGGCCCTGGACGTCTTCTATTACGTTACATATGAAGCTACGCATGTCCTCTATTATAAATTAATTATGAAAAATGCAAGTCATCTTTTATGTTGGCAGGTTTTCATGTTTACTACTTCCCAGGAACTAATTTTTTCAGAAACATAACTGTTAAATAAATAACACCATCAATGAGTACATAACTGTTAAATAAAAACCATCTGTGGCGTTAAATGTAGAAAAGAAATGGGAATTATCAGCCAGGGGACATACAGATGAACATCTTGAACATGTGAAAGATTGCTAATGGGTTTTTCTAAATGTGTGAAAATGAAACTAAAGAACTAAAGTGGGGGGGGGGGGATTGCATTTGATCAGGTGTTTGCTGAATTCTTCATCTGTGTGATGTATGAATCACCCAGGCATGACTCATAGACTAAATCACCACATTAACTTTTTATTGAAATCATTCTGTCAAATCAATTGAAATCATCATGCTGTCATGTGAATTGAATCATCATGATGTCATATGAATTGAATCATCATTCTGTGACATAACCTGAATCACCATTCTGTCACTTCAATTGAAATTATCATTCTGTCATATGACTTGAATCATCTTTCTGTCACATGACTTTAAGCATCATTCTGTCACATGACTTGAAACATAATTATGTCACTTCAATTGAAATCATCATTCTGTCACATGACTTGAAACATCATTGTCACTTGAATTGAAATCATCATTCTGTCACATGACTTGATATATCATTATGTCACTTCAATTGAAATCATCATTCTGTCACATGACTTGGTATATCATTATGTCACTTCAATTGAAATCATCATTCTGTCACATGACTTGAAATCATCATTCTGTTACAATGACATTGCATCATTATTTTCTCATAAGACCATGTAACAATTTTTCAGGAGCTGTGGATCTGGATGCCATCCAAGACCCGAAAGAGAGATTGTCTGTTGAAGGCATGATCAGAAACTTTGGTCAGACCCATCACAACTGCTCAAGGTAAATCTTTTCTCTAATGAAACCTTAAGAAAAAAAATAGGTACCTAGAAATGATGGTCAGCAGATTTTTTTAAATGTAATTTTTAAATCAAATTTGGATTTATTTTTAACTATGAATGACTTTCACTGTGATTGACTTAAACTATGATTGAATATGATTGAATTGAACTATGTTTATTTAAAGTCACAATTTACTGGGCACTGATTGGTGTTAATATTTTTTTTTGGTTTGTTTCTAGAATAGCTGTTTTCTTTTTTGCATAGAAATTTGTTTTCTGTTTGCATTCTTGTCTATTTTGTATACTATATATTATTTATACTGAGGATTGGAAAGTTATTTTAAAGCTGATGTTTGTACAATTTTGTTCACCATAAAAACTCTTGTTTCAGAAGACTGACCTTTGATGAGCCTGTAGTCAAGACCACCAAGTCTGGGAAGCCTATGAGTGTCTTCAATTTTATGAAAGACCTGAAACCTTTCTTTGTTGATGTAAGAGCATTTTCTTCTTCCATTGCTATTATATGTTAAGTGATCAATTTGAAAGGACCAGTTAAGTGATCAGTTTGAAAGGTCCAGTAAATTGATCAATTTGAATGGTCCAGTTAAGTGATCAAATTGAAATAACCAGTTAAGTGATCAATTTGAAAGGTCCAGTTAATTAATCAATTTGAAAGATCAAGTTAAGTGATCAATTTGAAAGAACCAGTTAAGTGATCAATTTGAAAGATCCCGTTAAGTGATCAATTTGAAAGATCCAGTTAATTGATCAATTTGAAAGATCCAGTTAAGTGATCTATTTGAAAGATCCAGTTAAGTGATAAATTTGAAAGATCCAGTTAATTGATCAATTTGACAGATCCAGTTACGTGATCAATTTGAAAGAACCAGTTAAGTGATCAATTTGAAAGGTCCAGTTAAGTGATCAGTTTGAAAGGACCAGTCAGAGTGTGTGTTATTGACCAGTGTATTCCGGAGGCAAGTCAACATTATCTAGAACGTGTATTCTGTGTATACTTATGTAATGTTTAATTGTTGTAAATAAAAACATAGAAAACATAACAAAATGCCAGAATAGACTTTAAAATTTTGTATTCGTTTTATCATCATAATAAGTCAGGACAAAATATTCATGTCATCACTTAATATCCACTCATAGCCAGTCAGTGTCTACCGATATATTTTCTTTGCAATCACATGTTGCCATTTGATTTTTTAAAACTTTTTTTAACTATGCCCAAGTGGTTTGTAGCCAGTTTTTATCATTATTTTTTTAACTCCACGGAACACTTGTAATAGCAATTTTATCAAGGATCCTCCTGAATGGGTGTATAACCATGACATTCCGTTTAAAAACTGAATTTAATTTATTCGCCCACAAGAAGTTACACTCACAGCTAAAATTTACATGTAAATATTTATTTTGACTGCTCACATTTTGAAGTTCATACTGTCGTACCATTGTGTAATTGAATAAATTTTTAGCAAAATATTTTTTTTTGTATAGAGTCATGTTTGTTTCATGTAAAGATAAACTTACTTAAATAAATTCTGCAGTTACCAGCATACATTTTTTATTTGTTATGAGTAACCTATTTTAAACCCTTTGGCTTAAGCTGCAAGTGAATGTGTTTTTTTTTCTAGGAGTCTCATGTGATTAAAAAGATGTTGGAAAATAAAGTTTTGAAATCTTAATTAAGGTTCTTAAAGTTTGCAAATGATTTTTAACGATGCACATGAACCTCTTTAAAAGTGTGCAATTTTACAGAATTTCTTCAATAACGTATTGTAATTTTTTTTTTCAGCGTAATGTGCTACCGTTTAGACTACAATTGTGCGGGGGGAGTTATCGCCATGAACAAACACAACTTTAGGAAAATAAATGGTTACTCAAACTCTTATTGGGGTTGGGGTAATGAAGATGATGACTTTTCAGCCAGGTAAGCATTGCATTGATTTATTTGTTGCTAGTGAAATTAAAATTTAAGCTCATATTAACTAAAAATTATATAAAAAAAATTAAAAATTGACTTTGCTTTAATTTGCAAGAATGCTGTCCAGCACGGCCAAGGTTGAGATTTGTGGAATGCTCTACATCATCACCCTGCACAGTTTAAGCAAAATCAGTTTTATTTATATAGCCTATCTTTCCCCAATGTTATAGTACAGTGTGAACTGAGCCATAAACAAATTCTTTTAATCTGGATACTCACTGATATTATGTCATGTAAAGTAATATATTTGTATCAACCAAGCAAACAGTAAGTGTAAAGCAGTGATTGAAATGTTTGATATGCAGCATTACTCTGAGTTGTAAATCTTGACACGACCCCTCCTCCCAACCCCCAACCCCTAACCCCCAACTTCCCTGTATTTAGAGTTTTATCAAAAGTGGAAGAGAAAGGACAGCATTGAACCTATTATTACAAATATTTTAGAATCCCCTTATAAATTTTAGGTAGAAATGTTGTGAAAATTTAAAATTGTAAAATTGCTATTCAATGCATAGTTCAAAAGATATTTTCTACTTCCTTTGAAACCAGAATTCAAGACTCTAATATTTTAGAATCCCCTTATAAATTTTAGGTAGAAATGTTGTGAAAATTTAAAATTGTAAAATTGCTATTCAATGCATAGTTCAAAAGATATTTTCTACTTCCTTTGAAACCAGAATTCAAGACTCAGGTCTCTTGTCGACCAGGCCACCAGCACATGTTGGAAGATATAAGATGGTTAGACCCACAAAAGAAACCTGATCTGAACATGGGTCTGTTGAAATTATATATTACTATTGTTTATGCTTATGGAGCAATGAGCTTCAATAATTATATTTCATTAACACTTTGATAAACTTGCATCTAAAAAAATTGAAAAGATTTGCCAATAGAATTGCTCATAAAATTGTATGAATAAATTTTGCTTACAAATTAAAGTGGGTCATCACATGCTCAATAGTTATGGTGTCCGTCTCTTGACCCACTAGGGTTCAAATTTGTTTGGGTACAATGGGCTAATGGGCCATGTTAGCCAAGTAAGTCAGCTTCTTTTTGGGTGGATTTTAACCCTGTATTAATAATCCTTAACCTCTGAGGTGTGAAGATAGTCGCTAACATTGTCTGGTATTAATAATTCTTCTTCTTATGCCTTTTACCCCTCCTGGGGCATAGGCCGTCCACAAGAATTTTGCACTCATCACGGTCCTGTGCTTTCGTTTCCAACTGCTTCCAGGCATATCCCATATTTTGTGTGCCTGCCTCTAGCTCATGTCTCCATGTATTCTTAGGCCTTCCTCTCTTTCTTTTTCCCTGTGGGTTCCATGTTAGGCATTGTCTGGTGGTGCTATCTGGGGGTTTTTCGGAGCGTATACCCTATCCACTTCCATCTTTTCTTTATGATATCTTCATCAATTAATCATTTCCTTCACAAAAATAGCTGGTGTTAAGGACTTGAATGTATATTGTTATTGCATGTTGTTAAGAGATTATGTGTGTTTTTTAATCTATTATTCTTATTATCTTGTGACGTATTGTGTGAAAGGGGAGATGACGTAGTATTCTTGATTAGTGTGTTGTGGTCTTGTGAGCAATGGCAGTTGAAGATGTAGCTTAGTTCGTTAATAAAGATATTTAATATGAGAATAATGGTTTGTGAAGTGTATATGTAATTAAAGCCCTAGACAACGAACCTTTTAAGTAAGACAGGAATAAACCTATAATTTTATTTTAAACAGGAGACTTTTTAAAAACTGGTATTCCCTTCCCTCTTAAACTACCATTAAGAAAGAACAACAAATTTAAACATTAGCCACAAGTATCCAGTTTTTCTCAAAGCGCCTTAATCCAATTTCAAACAAGTGAAATTGTAATTTTTTATCAATTTTTGCCCCCGATAGTGGCTCCCCAGTCCCCACAACACTGTTTGGGAACCTCTGCATTAGATGATACCTTCTCATACATTCTTACCTTTGAATTTGAAACTAAGTAGTTAACCATAAAATGCAATCTTATATACTATCTTACTTTCAGAAATGAAATGTTTTTAGGCTGGAGGACAAGGTGGCCTAAAGATGGATTAAATGATCCAGTGGGAATGAACTACACACTTCGTGAGGTCAATGAAAAGCCTCTCTATACTAGAGTTTTAGTGGACATTGGAAAGCCACCGGCCAGTATGGATATTTACATGACAGATCATTCTAAGGATGTTTCAATTTGGTGGTAAGCGGCTCTGCATTTGTAATAAGGGGAGAGACTGCAATCAGGTTAGTACAAAATAAAATGTGTAAAACAGAGTAGGGTTAAACCTGAAAAAATAAACGCAACAAAACAGCGAACGTGTCGGCAGAAAGCCTTCGTCAGCGAACAAAACAACAGAAAAGAGAAAAGATCATTTAACTTGTATAAATTAATTATTTTTGTTTGTTTAAATTGCCTGTGCATTTATTTTGGTAGTTCATTCCATTCAGGTCAATATGCAGGGAAATAAGATTTGATTCACAATAATTAGATCTAGATCATTTAACTTGTATAAATTAATTTTTTTTGTGTGTTTAAATTGCCTGTGCATTTATTTTAAGTAGCCTATAAACTTACAAAAATTAAAGTGCTGAATGCAAATTAATATTTAGACCTTTTCATTTTGAGCTTATTTTCCTTCTTAAACTTAAACTGATTTATTTTCTGCAATAAACAATTTGTAATGGCAGTAATATTGGGCAGATATGTTTTGTAAGGGCAGCAGTATTGGGCGTATATGTTTTGTAAACATAATTTAAACAAAGAGAATTGTTTCATAAAATAGTCCTGGTCAGCGCAATGCAATGCACCAAAAGATTTATTTCAATTAGACATGGAGTATGCTGTATGTTACTTAAATAGAATTTTTTTTTAAAAATTAACAACAATAATGTAAAATAGTTAGTGCAGTCCATTCAAGTAATAAATAGAAGTTTTAGTTAGGCATGAGGTAGGTTAGGGTAGGCCATCCTAGCATTTTCAGACAATTAAATTGTTTTTAAAAATTAAAATAATGATTTGGTAGTTCACATTATTTATTAATGGCATAATTTTTTCTTCCCCTGGCATAAGACTTGTGTCTCTATTTCAAGCAGGAACCATTGATTTGGTTTGTGGCTTCTTTGCAAATTTTTATCAGTAAAGTGTACAGTTTATAAATATCCTATATTTGTTAACCCGTTGGTTTATAATGATTTGTTGAAATGATAATGAACATTTTTTTTAATGCNATATGTTTTGTAATGGCAGTAATATTGGGCATATATGTTTTGTAATGGCAGTAATATTGGGCATATATGTTTTGTAATGGCAGTAATATTGGGCATATATGTTTTGTAATGGCAGTAATATTGGGCACATATGTTTTGTAATGGCAGTAATATTGGGCATATATGTTTTGTAATGGCAGTAATATTGGGCATATATGTTTTGTAATGGCAGTAATATTGGGCACATATGTTTTGTAATGGCAGTAATATTGGGCACATATGTTTTGTAATGGCAGTAATATTGGGCATATATGTTTTGTAATGGCAGTAATATTGGGCACATATGTTTTGTAAAGGCAGTAATATTGGGCAAGTATGTTTTGTAATGGCAGTAATATTGGGCACATATGTTTTGTAATGGCAGTAATATTGGGCATATATGTTTTGTAATGGCAGTAATATTGGGCACATATGTTTTGTAATGGCAGTAATATTGGGCTTATATGTTTTGTAATGGCAGTAATATTGGGCACATATGTTTTGTAATGGCAGTAATATTGGGCAGATATGTTTTGTAAGGGCAGCAGTATTGGGCAGATATGTTTTGTAATGGCAGTAATATTGGGCATATATGTTTTGTAATGGCAGTAATATTGGGCATATATGTTTTGTAATGGCAGTAATATTGGGCACATATGTTTTGTAATGGCAGTAATATTGGGCATATATGTTTTGTAATGGCAGTAATATTGGGCAGATATGTTTTGTAATGGCAGTAATATTGGGCACATATGTTTTGTAATGGCAGTAATATTGGGCGTATATGTTTTGTAATGGCAGTAATATTGGGCACATATGTTTTGTAATGGCAGTAATATTGGGCACATATGTTTTGTAATGGCAGTAATATTGGGCACATATGTTTTGTAATGGCAGTAATATTGGGCGTATATGTTTTGTAATGGCAGCAGTATTGGGCGTATATGTTTTGTAATGGCAGTAATATTGGGCAGATATGTTTTGTAATGGCAGTAATATTGGGCAGATATGTTTTGTAATGGCAGTAATATTGGGCAGATATGTTTTGTAATGGCAGTAATATTGGGCACATATGTTTTGTAAGGGCAGCAGTATTGGGCGTATATGTTTTGTAAACATAATTTAAACAAAGAGAATTGTTTCATAAAATAGTCCTGGTCAGCGCAATGCAATGCACCAAAAGATTTATTTCAATTAGACATGGAGTATGCTGTATGTTACTTAAATAGAATTTTTTTTTAAAAATTAACAACAATAATGTAAAATAGTTAGTGCAGTCCATTCAAGTAATAAATAGAAGTTTTAGTTAGGCATGAGGTAGGTTAGGGTAGGCCATCCTAGCATTTTCAGACAATTAAATTGTTTTGTCATAAACATAATTATCATAAGTATACCTATGATTCAATTCAAGCTTTTCCAATTCGTAAATAATTTCTTACAATTGAAGACTTTTTGTTTTCTTAAAATTAAAATAATGATTTGGTAGTTCACATTATTTATTAATGGCATAATTTTTTCTTCCCCTGGCATAAGACTTGTGTCTCTATTTCAAGCAGGAACCATTGATTTGGTTTGTGGCTTCTTTGCAAATTTTTATCAGTAAAGTGTACAGTTTATAAATATCCTATATTTGTTAACCCGTTGGTTTATAATGATTTGTTGAAATGATAATGAACATTTTTTTTAATGCAATGAAATTAATGTAATTAATTGTAATTTTGTAACGTACATTGAGGATTATATTTAAGGTCATAACCCCAGCTTTCAATTATTGGAAAAGGCCTTTTTGCAAAATCATTGTTTAACATTATTGACTGAATGGAGATACCTTACTGATATTGATTGAGAAAACAAGAGATTAAAGTATGCAAGAATATTACAATTTAAATGTCAAAAGATATCAAGATCATGAGGTGAATCAAATTATTGAGTGGGGAGAGATCTGGAGAGTATCTTGGGTCTGTTCTATATTTTAAATAATTTGTATGCTTCATTTTATTACTGTACAAAAAACGCAACCAACCAATCACTCAAAATTACTATGACACTACATTATTATTATTTTTTAAATCTATGTGATGTTGCTCTGTAATTGTAATGAAGTACCTGAATCTAGAATAACATGGTTAGTAATTTGAGATAACCAATTGACTTAGTGAATGTCTTTTCTAAACGCCATAAGTTAAACATGTACCATTACAAGTTATCATACCCGAAATATTCAAATACAGATTCAGATTTGATATAGTATAAGTGATTATACTGTAATATTGGATGCTGGAATGAATAAGATATTTATTTGTACATTATTATATGATTATCACCAGTGGCATAATATTTTTTATACCCCGGTATGATCAAAATACATTAATGAAGAGCAAATACTCCTGAAATTTTGTCATTATTTGAAGATTTCATAAAACAATTTTATTTTCTTCAATTTAATGAATATACTCCTGGAAGTCTTGCCATTTTTTGTTCATGAACTTACTGGTATGTATCTCTTTGTAAATGATAGCTATGACTTTTCTAAAGCACAAAATGGAATGATGAAATGGACAAATTTTGAGGCAAAAATCAGTATGTGATATATCATGAGACCATTTAAACTTGTAATCTCCTCTGCAGCACTACCCTATAAACCCTATTTTAAACCAATATGCATTTATTTTTTTTATTTTTCAAGATAAATATTATTATTTGTGTATGAGGAGATATCAGTTACCTGTATTCATGCAAAATATTAATCATTATTAATTTACTGAGGCGAAGGGTACTATTATTATTAATCACTATCCAGAATACCATTGTTATGGGTTCTTGTTAAAAAAAATAATAATTTCCTAATTATCAATATTATCTGATATGACCTATGATTAAAATACTCATATTTGTCATTAGCAGGGAATCATTCTATAAGACATAAATAAACTGGTTAATTTTTAAAATATTTGTGTGCCTTACTTTGGCCGCATGAATTATCAATACCTTGTATGGTATTCAATCATTTTAAATTTTATTTTCAAACTCCTCAAGCCTTGGTGAATTCATCAGAGTAACAGCACACAGTGTGATCGCCCATCCCACCCCGCATTTTAGCGTTTCAGAAAATAATATTTTGCAGCAAGTTTTCAGACTGCTAGTGCTAGGTACAAAAATTCAAGATAAAATATTTAAATAATGCTTTCCAGGTAATTAATGAGCTGAACCTTGACATTCAAATTCAAGGAAACAAATAAATACTCAGGCAGTTCTTGATCTACCAACAATGGCTACAAAAGTCATCCAAATTATATGAATTATAAATTATATAACTTTGTATGTTTTTAAATTTTAATTAAAATGTACTGTTGTTATTCAAAGCAATTTTATCTTGTTTCCTTTGTTAAATAATTAATTTATATTAAGTTTGTTCACATACATACTCAACATCTTAATACTGTGAGTTTTCACAAATAAACTTGGCACAGTACTAGTACAGAATGTCATTAAATATGGCATGCAATAAGTGCTTGTTCAATGGGCGGCATGCATGAACAAAATCATTTAATTAGTGGGTACAAGTATTAAGTATAATGACTATCTCCAGGAATGGAACTAAATCAAGAACTGCATCTACCTGTATTATATTTTTTTTTAATGGGTTTTTAGATTTAAAATTTATTTTAAGATCACCTGCATGAACAATGTTTTTTCCAATCATTAGTTTTAAAAATATCAATAGAATTATAGTGAATGTCAAAGAACATTTTTTTATAGCTAATTCAACTTATTGGGATGGCTAGTATTTTATTACCCAACGTAATCATCATTTATAAATAAAAAAAATCCCTACCCATACCGGTACATAAATATCCCAAGACCACCTGCCCTTCTTACAAGTTACATGCATACCATACTATTATTAGTACACTTTTAGTTTTCATTCAAATTCAGATTTTACTTTTTGAAATCTTTAAAAATATTTTTGTCTTAGTCTTACTATTTTTATTACATTATTTTGTGTACATTGTCGAGATTATTTGTGTATGTTTAGGCATAATTTAATATGGTACTTTCTTGTCTCGATAAATGAAATATTTCCTGCGACCTGAACACTTATTAAGTGATTTGT